TACGTTGCGGGCAACTTAACACCTCGATAGTTTTTCTTTCTAGTTTTCGCTTCGTTTTTGTTTTTTATCGGCCGAATTCACAAATCACAATAGTAATGAATATATGTTTTAAAGTATTAATAAAATAACGTATTACATTGTCATCCTAAACGATACCCATTTGCCAGTTTCTGTTAACAATTTTAACGTTTTTTTTGTTAATTTCTAATAACAACTATAACATTTATCATTTACCTAATCAATGTTCAATTTCTTTTCATTTTACTTAATTAATTAACTCTATATTTGACCAACCAATCATCGTACGACAACAAAACAGAGAAAAGAAGAAAAGAAAAAACATCTTTGTCTCAACTACATAGAGCTTTAGTACTTGCATACATACATAAACGTGCACACACAACTAAATATAATATCTGAGATTGTGATGAATCTTTATACAGTAATCAAAGTAAAAAAAAATAAGGATGATTGTGATATATGGGACCGAACTGTTGGTAATTTGACTAATGTACAAAAAAAGCCAACTAAAGTCCTTTGTTCTTGTCTTGACTATAAAGTTTTGTATGGTTTTTGTTTGTTTTTCCAACTTTTGAGGTGGTTTGTAAAAGCAGTATCTATATCTCTTCAGCTGTTTCAATTACTAGTCTTTTTCAGTCCACTTACGTTATATCCTATAATCTTAGTGGTCGCTTTTTTGTTTTCTTGGCACATAAGTTTCTTGCCACACGAATTGGGAGAAAAAGCCGTTTGTTTTCTTGACCCAAAAGGGTCTCCTTACGTAAGATTGTTTGTTTGTCTTCCTGTTTGAGAATGAAAAGTGGAAGGTTATCTTGATCTTCTTTTATTTTGATAATCAAGGTAAATCTTTGATCGAAATCAAGACTCTCAGAGCCGTGACAACATTGACAGATGCCCTAAGCGAATAAAAATTAAAACTATATTTTATATAAAAATTTGTTTACTATAAGATCAATCACCATACAATAAAAACAAATAAAGAACTAAACTAGTAATTTCACAACCTTTTTTTTTTTCTATAAATTATTATCCAAGTTTT